AGAGGTGCAAGCTGGGGAAGGAGACATCGGACCAAGAAGCCACCTCAGAGATCCTTGCTAAATAAAATGGACCTGCTCACAACACTGAGCTGAAAAATCAGGGGTTGAGTTTCAGCAAACATTTATCTAGTGCCCCCTAATGGTAATGTTCAACACTAGATGTAAGGAAGGAAATAAACACAGGTCTTCCTTTAGCTGAGTGTGGACCTGACAGAGGAAGGCATGAAGCATACCACGGAGGCATAATGCCGAGATGTAAGTAAGTGTTAAGAGGGAATTATATGTAAAACGACACAAACAAGTTGTACCTATTAATTATTTCATGCCTTGGAGTTGCGGGAGATTTGTTGACCTGGAGGGGTACGGTGCCAACCATCAGCCTCAGGATGCTCTAAATCACTTCCAACACTTCCCTGCTTGGCTCTGAATGTCAGAACAGCAGGTTTCCCGGGCTTGACTGCCTACCTGTGGCTGGGCTTGGTCAAGGGCAAGCACTGGCAGGACCTAGGGAGACAGGAGCAAGGGAAGAACCATGCTACTCTGCCGCTCTCCTTTGCTTGGACAGCGTCACTTGCACTGGGCCATGTCCCCTCCACAGCACCTGCTCCTGACAGACATCACCTCTACTTCAGTTTCAACCTGGTCACTCCAACCGAGGGGAGGTAGAGCTTCCTGTTGGCGCTCATCTCACATCTTACCTCTTCCATTACTCTACCGACCAACCAATGAATTGCCCTGGAGTTGACTCGGACTCCGGTGAATTCCGTGCATGTCAGAGGAGCACTGGCCTCTGCAGTGTTTTCAATGGCTTCTGGGGTTTTTGTTTTGTTTTGTTTTCCTTTTTCTCTGGAAGTACATCACCAAAGTGCCTCTGGGAAGATTTGCACTTCTAGCTTTTCGGTTGGCTGCGCACACAAATGTTTTACTCAACTACAATGACAAAGTGGTGCCCAACGTGAGATGCCACTTATGGAGGATACATAAGATTTAGATCCAGCCTAAAGGATTCGGATCCAGGCCATGCGTTTATTTCCTATCAACTTGAAATCAGCCATGTGGGGCTCGGGGGAGAGGCTCATCCTTCAGTAGGAGAGCCAAAAGGCATCTTCTTCCAAATTTTATGGATGAGGACACAGGCTTTTTATTAAAGTCATTTGCTCAAGATCAAACAGTTGGCATAGCTGGAATTTGGAGAACTCTTAAGTTCCTCAATCCAGGTGCAAAGTTGGTTTTACCCTTCATCCAGCCTCCAGCCTTCCGGTTTCAGATCATCGGGGATCGCCTTAGTCCTTTAGTGGCCACAGGACTGTGAAGAGATTTAGGTACGTTGCCCGCTCAACATTTCAAAACCTGGACAAAGAATCTGCGTGTCATTCATGCCAGAGCAAACACCCTGGAGTGATCGTTAAATAGAGTAAACTACTTTAGTAAAGAATTGTTTTATAGCTAACTGAAATGCAGGTAGAATTCAAGTAATGGGATATATTCTATTTTTCCAGGAAAACCTTGAACCTGTGTTGTTTGCTGGATTTTTCATGCAATTAGCTATGAAGAAATCTTAAGAAATATATCATTTCCGTGTATACACTGTACACCAAGGTTTGGGTAAAAGAAATACCGAGGTTGGGGAACCGATTACAAGGATCGACATGTGACCTCTTCCTTGGGGGGAAGGACAACAGAAAAGTGGGTGCAGGGAGATGTCGGACAGGGCAAGATATGACAAAATAATAATTTATAAATTATCAAAGTTTCATGAGGAAGGGGGGAGTGGGAAGGGAGGGGAAAAATGAGGAGCTGCTGCCAGGGGCTTAAGTGGAGAGCAAATGTTTTGAGAATGATGAGGGCAATGAATGTACAAATGTGCTTTACACAATTGATGTATGTATGGGTTGTGATAAGAGTTGTATGGGCCCCTAATAAAACGATAAAAAAAGAAATACTGAGGCAGAAGTTTTAGAGACATTATCTGTTTAATAAATATGATTGTAAAAGCAATAAACAAGAGCAATTATACATTACACTACGTAGTATTTAACAAAAAATACATCAAAAAAGTCATTTTAAAATTAGAAGTAGTTCCAATACTATAAGAAAACTTTATTTTTTTTGTTTTTTAAATTGGCTTCCTATAAAAATAAGTTGGCAAATGAGGGAGTTCAATGCTCAGTTGGAATCCTGGAAAACACAGAACAGCTGCCAAGCACCCCACTGCTCTTAAAGTTGCTGTTTGTAACTTCGGGAAGAAAGAAAAGCAAACCTCTGCCTTTTGGACAGTGAATCCAATTAGAAATAAGCAAGGGAGAAAGTGCTGGTTGGACAGTTCAGGGTCGAACATGCAGTTTGCCTTCTGAGATTTGGGAAAACCTTGCAATATCAGATTTTTAGCTTGCCCTGAATCTTACCTTCCACATCTATCCTTCCTCACCAATCACTTCAGCCCTAAGCCCACCAAATTCCTGTGTTTGCACCTGCTGTTAGGGAGTAGGTAGGCACTTGGGTCCCTCCCATTTGTAGGCTCACATTGCTGTCTCCTCTTTTGGACTGAGCTCGAATGCCCTGAACCTGTGGTTCTCAAAGGTTAGTGAACATTTGAGTCATCTGGAGGGCAGGTTAAATTAGAATGCTGGTTTTCACCCCGAGGTTCTGATGCAGTAGATCTGAATGAGGACCAAGACTTTCTGACATGTCAACAGATGATGCTAATACTGCTAGTCTAGGTCCCCACACTTTGAGAACCACTGGTTTGGGTCAAATGAAAAATGAGGTGCCCTTTGGGAAGTACCCTGCCTCGTCAATCTCCTACAGGTGAGATAGAGCTTTGAGGGGCGGCACAGAAGGAAGCAGTAAATACAGAACTGACAGGTGTCCCTTTGGGGTCACTTTCCAAGTATCAAGCATCTCTTGTTCACCTCCATAGTCATTAAGGACCTAGAAGTCCGTTCTTCTCTCCACCCGCTTACCATAGTCACTCATTATCTCTCCCACAAACTCTATTAAGGAAGGCACTGTGCTACATTATTATTCTGAATTTCATCACTTCAAAGGATGATTATTTGAACTGCAATTCTGAAAACTCCCTGTATTATTTTGGATAGCAGCATTTGCTTTGCAGATTACATTTGGGATGCTTCAGCTGAAGAGACTCGATGGCAACGTTTCCTATTGGGACAGGAAGCCTGGTAGATGGGGGATCAACTGCGTTCTACAGGTGGCTGGCTGCTCCAGGCACGATCCTTTCCCAGATTCATCCTGGGCACCCTCAACCAAAAAAACCTGCTTGATTAACTTCTGACAGCAGCTTGGCGACCCTTCCCGAGCCTGAGCTACATAAGGACAAGGTTCATCCAGATATTTGGGATACCCATATTAATGCCAGGTCCTGTTAGACACTATTTTGGCTTGCAAATACAGCCAAGGAGATAGCTTAGCTCTTCATGTATTTTTGCGGGAGGGAACTACGTTCACTTGTATTTCACAATGGGTTCTGATTGTGTCCAATTTATAATATTAAAAGGCATTCTGCTAGATGATCACCCTCAGAAAGCTGAGGGGTTTCCTCATGCTTTGAAGCCAATCACTTTGCTATAATCAATGAGCTTCCCTTCATAAATTTATTTATCCTTATCTTTTCTTCACTGATATTCAAGGGTCAGACAGGATACATGCCAAATAACTAGGATCTTCCTAAGGACCAAGATCTCCACAGTCTCTTTCAAAGTCGTTGACATTCTTAGTTATTAAATCCATTAGCTTGCTTCTCCTTCTAATTAAAATCCATTGTATCCCACAAATATTTTCACTCGACTATGAGAGAGGAAATATTGGGTTCCAGCAACCATTATAGGCGGAAATTGTCACTGGAAGAATCTTCTGGAATTTGAATGCATGAGATATTTTTGTAAGGTGTTGAGAGCACCACTATTCGTTTGCATGCTTTCTTTTCCAATGTTCATGGCCAGATTCGAATTTCTTTGCATATATCAACGCTTTCACACATTTGATATGTTTCCAGGAGGGAAAAGGCAGGGATAGTTGAATGAGGCAGTTTCTAAAGGCGGAGACAAAGGATGCATGGAGCTGACCCCCACTGGGAAGGTCGCAGCGTGGTCAGGGTGCATGGCAGCTGGCATGCTTGCAAGTGTATAAAGCTGACCAGAAGACGGCGAACTTGGGAGGAAGAAGGGGCAGGGATGGAGGAGGTTAGGCCAGTATTTAGGAAATGTCAAAATTGATATCCAAATATTAGCCACATGTTTGGGGAAGGAAAAAAAAGGAGCAGTTAGATAATTAATTGGGGGAATGGGAGAAAGAGCTTCAGAAACATCAACAGGTCACGACCTAACGTGGATGGCAAACAAATGGAAGGGCAAGATGAAGAGACATGAGATTCTATTTTGCCACATAAACCGGGCAGGAACAGGGAAAGCAGCAAGGAGAAGCAGCCAAGGTGGGAAGAGATGAGCAGGTATCAAGCATGTCCACGTCTGACACGCCTGTCTCCCTGCAGACATGAATTTCTTCCCTGTCCTCGGGGTCACACATCATGGAGAAAGTAGCCAGTGGCCACTCCTGACCCACAGAGCTCCCAAGGTCAACTCAGAGGGGAAATGGCAAGAAGGAAGTTGGACCAGAGAAACAGCCCCGGGTTTCAAACTCCTGTGCATGTCTGTGTGTGTCTCATGGAATGGTCTGGGTGGCTAATCCATCCAGGAGCCGGTAGTGCTAAAAGAGCTGTTTAATCTAGAGCCAAGAATCCTTTCAAAAACACATGCAGATTTCCTTGGCCTATATATGTTATGAAGTTTCTACAAACACGACTGATCAGAAAAAGAGAAGAAGGAGAAACGGGGAGGGGAGTGTTTTCCGATAAAATAGAGCACCTGTATGTACACTGCCCCTCCCAACATGGTCTCACGGTCTTGTCCACATGCACAGGCGTAAAGCTAAAACCCCTTGTCGTCTGGGTCTGAAGAATTAAAAAGTCCCGATGCAGTGAGTGTTTGCTTGTTTGGTTTTGGATTTTGTTTTTATTTTATTTTATTGTGTTTGCTTTGTTTTTACTGGCGTCCTCCATTCAAACATTTACATAGGTAGGGATTTCGTTTGTGCTTTGATTCTCAGCAACTATGGAAATACTTCCTGGCAAAATAGGAAACAGAATAACAAAGGAAAGAAAGGGGGGGAAAAACAAAAACAAGAACAAAGTTAGTCATCATGAAGGATGATGCACTTGACCAGCGCGAACTTCTCTCCTGATCAGCAGGTTGCTTGTAGCCTCTGGGGGCTTTCCTTAAATTGCAAAGTGTGGCCCAGCAGCTCCCCGCTTTGGCGTTGAAGGTGGAGTGGCGTGTCTTGCTCTTTGCAATCGGAGAGATGAGTCCCCCGGTTGCGTAGAAGGGGAGGGAGGGGAGGGTAAAGCTACTCTCCTAAGAGAAAACGTGTAACACTTTACTCATTGAATGACATGGACATGGAAAGGTTTCAGAGACTTTGCAACGTGCTGGCAGGTGGCACGCCTGGTGACCGAGGGACGGCTACATTAATCAGGTCAAGAACAGCTGCACTTGATACCCATGGCAATGGCATTGAGAAACCAGTGACCCAAAAAGATGCCCTTAGAAGCTTTAGAAGTAAAGAAAGGGGTGGGTAACCATCTCTGGACTCAAAGACAGAAAAGCCTTTCTTCTTTCTTTTTAACCCAGAGCCATTACACATTGCTGACTGTCGCCCCCAATACAAGAAAGTGGACTGCAGAAATTGGACCCCACATGTGGCTGCAGCTGTTATTATTACCCACAATATGAGTCAGTTGTTGCATTTAAATTTCCCCTTCGACACAGCCACAGACCTTCCCGGGGGCCATTTGAAGACAGGCCTATCATTGCCCAGCCCCTCGAGTAACATGAGAAATTTTAGGTAAGGCCATCTAGTGGGTGCCATGACCTCGTTCGAGTGAAGCACACATAGATCGTTAGACATCAATCTGCCACGGTAGCCGGGAAAGCAGGGTCCAGATGGAAACAGTCAGAGCTTCAGCTCCGACTCGGACAGACAGGAGAAACCGGGGGGTGAAACCACTCCGCAATGGCGGTCCCACGGAGTTCTGTAACCTCCTGGGAATTGTCCTTTGTAATAAATAGGAGGAGGATCCAGCCATTAAGCTCAGGCTCTCCAAATCTAGCTGTTGGGCACCCGGTGCCTCCTTCACCGGGGGAGAGTGAGTGAGTGCTATTGAAATATGAAGACTCTTTCGAGACTTCTGACACAGGATGGGGAAAAAAGGAAGGCAATGTTGGCCAGTTAGCTCTGTTATGGGCTGATTTTCCAGAGGCCAGTCCCTCTCTGGGGGTCCTACGCCCCGCGTGTTCTGCAAATATTAAGCCTCTTGTGCTCAAATTCTCAGGATTCATCTTCATGGAATGGGTAGCAGTAGACTGCTGCTGGGTTTAGACAACACAGTTTGAAGGTGCTCAGGCTAGCCACTCTCGGGCTATCCCTGCTCGGCTGGGCCCCGGAGCAATGCAGCTCTGGGTCAAGTTATGGCCGCCATGGCTCATTTCTGATCCTTCTGGACCTTCCCCTGACTCCCTGCCCGACCTTCCAGTCCACCATTTCCAGCCTAGGAGGTCTCTCTTTCGTGCAACCTATTAGAGCAAATGCTTGGCTCTTAGCCTGTGAATAGTTGAAGCCCAGGTTTGGAGCAAGCAATTTTACCCAAGGGAGAATAAACTAAGGAGATAAAGAGTCAACAAGATTTGTTTTTCTCCTAACCAGTGGAAAGAAGCAGGGAAGGAGGAATCACAGCGGTTTCTCTCAGGGGCGACAGAGCAGAAGAAAGTGGTTAACGTGAAGCCAGAGAGGGGTTAGAGCGAGGCTCAGTCAGAGACGACTGGCTGAACAGCTGGAGGCCGCTACTGGGAGGCATTTACCTAGGAGCCGGGCTTCCACCTTCTCATCTAAGAGCTGGCCAGGCCGCCTTAGTTCACTCTGAGGGCTATTGGGCCTGCTTTCAGGGTGACTGACGGGACTGGTCATCTCTTGTTCTTTCTCATTCTGCATCTGGGCATACACATTAATGCCCGGGATCTTCCTAAAACATCAACAGAGACTGTCACTGTGGTGCTGGGGACAGACGCATCACTGGGGGCTTCTGCACCTGTTGGGGGGAGCTGGGGGACAGGGCTGGGCACGCACCTTTTGAACTTGTAGATGACGAACACGGCCAGCCCCACAAACACCACTGAGAGCAGCATCAGCATGGCTGATCCACTGTGGGTTGGGGTGAGGTCCACCAGAGGGGCTAGGGGAGAAAACAATGCAAGGTCATCAGCAGAGAGGCTGGCAGTGGGATGTTGGGAGGGGCCCGCACTTCTCACACACAGGCACTGGGAGTCCCCAGGCAGTTCCTGGGATGGACAAGCAAGACCATGTCACACAGGGGATGTGGGGATTCACCCAAGCTCATCCCAGTCCCTGGTATGCTCCAGCCAACCATTCAAGCAATACAGTGGAACATGGAGGCACAGACCTCGGAGCCAGACTGCATGGATTCCAGTCTTGCTCTGCTATGTGCTGGCTCTGGGGCCCTGGACATGTCACTTGACCATAAGCCATTGCCTTCCAATTCCTACCAACTCGTAACAAGCCTTAAACACAGAGGAGAACTGCCCCGGAAGGTCTCCAAGGCTGTCAATCTTTACAGAAACCAAAACATTTCCTGGTCGGTGGGTCCCAAGATTGCCCTTTCAGTTGGTAAGCCCACTGCTTAACCACCGTGCCACGGGATCTCCTTGTTTTACCATAGTTTGCCGGCGCGTGGCACAAGGAGAAGGATAATAGTAAGAGGGGGCTTCAGAACATTCGTGCAGAAATTCTATTGTCTTTTAAGTCCATTCTTCCACAGGCACTTTGAAGCCCCCGATGTATCTATATTGACTTATTTACCCCAGTGGATTGTTAAAGGGACTAAATAAGCCAATAGATGAGAAGCCATGAGAACCATACTCACCTGCTAACCAGAAGGTTTGTAGTTCAAACTCACCATCTGCTCTACTAGAGAAAGCTGAGGCTATATGCTTCTGTTAAAATTTTCCAATTTTGAAACACCATTGGGGGGCTCTGGCCTGTCCTATAGGGTCGCTATGAGTTGGAATTCACTTGATGGCAATGGGTTTGTGTTAGCTTTTATGGCTATTGCTTCTATTATTATTATCAATGAACATTTGCAATATATTTTTTAGTAATAGTATATATAACACGTGTGTTGATAAATGTAATCTTTAATAATACTTAGATTTGTTCATGTTAATTTTTAACAATGCTACTTATTAAAAGTTTCCATACTCTGAGGACAAATGTTTCCCACTACGCACTGTAGATAATCCGTAAAAAGAACTTGTTTATATTTATATGCAGAAAACTGATGGCTACTTGGATATCTGATGAGGCTCTGTTGTTGGAGGGCTGCGTGTAACTTTATTGTCTCTGTTCTCCCAAAGTGCAGGGAGCCCCTGCCAACATGCCCTGGCCTCTGACCTCCCATATGCAGTGGGTTCTCCTCCGAGAAAGCAGCGGTGGTGATCACCCCAGAGTCTCCCTCTCTGACCTTCCCCTCGGAGTGCAGCTCTCTGAAAAATGGCTCCCCCACCTCCACACCTTCCCCGATACCTGGGTCAAGCCCATTGTACTTGCAATGATTTTGTTTGCAATTACTCTCCACCCTCTTGAAAACTGACATTTTGCAAAGACAGCATTGCTCAAGCATAAAAGACCAACCACGTGGACCCTGTGGAAGCCTGGATGCTGACCTTTACCTTCCATCAGTTTAAGCAAAGCCTGATACCCAGAGATGGGGTGACCTTTACACACCATTTCTGGGGCTTTTCTTTGCTGAGAGCTGAGAGGTCCATGTTCTGGTTACTGAGGCACAAAAGTTCAAGAGGAAGTGACTAGAATAGCAATGGACTCCGGCAGCTGCTCCTCAGAGATGGCATTCCACCACTGGAAAACCAATCCTTTCCAACCACGTGTATGCTTCCAGCGAAAACAAAATCCACCCTTCTTTCTCAGGAAACAGACTGAGGCAGTTGGGTTGGACTGACTTTCGGAAGGCGCTGCAACGCACGACCTCTTGCTTTCCTCTCTGCCCTGGAAGTCAAGCACTGCATGAGCACTGAAGTGCACGTGGGGTGGGAAGAGCACGTGGCTCCATGGCAGGGTGGTACCCAAGGCAAATTTGCTCTCAGTCAAAGTTACAAAATAAAAGTTTCACCTTGACCATCAAGTTCGGAAGCAACAAAGCCCACATGGAAGAAGCACACCAGCCTATGCAACCACAGGTGTCGAAGGGATCAGGTATAAGGCATCATCAGAACAAAAAATCTTACCATAGTGAATGATGGGGGGAGTGC